CTTACCCTCTTGAACCTTTCATACTCTGAAGAGCTTGTGTTTTTCACTTTTCTTTTACAGCTGGAGTTTCTGAAAACTTAGTCTTTTTTTCTGCCTCATGCCTGGAGACATTTTTTCTTCTCAGAATGTTTAAATTCCCTTGTACTGCAGGGTAAAGGAGCTGATGCATGTTTGCAACTTAATCAGGATATTGTCAGGTTTCTTCCCCAGTCCAACGTGAACTAGGAGAAAAAGGCTTAGAAATGACAGAAAAGTGTGTGACATGTTCTATGGCAAGAAAGTACCTTATGCTTCCAGGGCCACACTGGGAGTTAGACCCTGCAGAGGTCTAGTCCTTTTTTTGGCATTGATTTCTGGTCTGACCTTTGCCCAGTTGTTAAATCACTGATTTTCAAAGGTGCTGAACGACTGCCAGTAGGTCTTTTGTGACTGAGGTCAGTAAGAGCTTGGCAGCTGGAAGCCAGAATTTCATCTACTCACTTCAGTTGCAGCTGTGGGTGTTTCAAAAATCATATATCTAGAGAAGGCAGACTAGACTAGGGGAAAGGTTAAGTCAAAAACAAGTTGGAAGCAGTTTTAGCTGTGCTTAGTTACTTCAAGATATGATTCTGGTCCAAATGTCAGATAGATTAGTGACTAATCTGATAAAGAAATTAATTATTTGTCAGTAAAAGCTGTTCTGTGGAGTGAATGATTGATTAAAAATGCAATACAGGACATTAGCACCTGACATAGCTCTTGCTAACAGAGATCAGAATTATCAGATGATGTCACACCACAAAATAAGGCCATACAAACTGTGCTAGTGTGTCTTTGGTACCATGATAACACAGTTTTGATACTTGCACACTGTGGATACAGTATCATCTATTAGGGAATGGAATTAATTTTGAAGTTTGAAATCCAAAACAATGTGAAGTACCCAGAGTATTCTGTGGAAAGCATCACTGAAATCTAATTTAAAATAACAATTTAGTTGAAAGCTCAATTTCACATTTTTCTGCAGTCAAATACCATTCATCTACATCTACTTCCCGTTACATGTATGGAGCTGTGAAATTACCCTCAAGGAAAAACAATATAAACCACAGCAGGTTCAAATCCTGTAACTTAGCATCTTGTATTTAATGCCAGAAAAATGCTTAATCCAGCCATACGAATATGTGTCTATGATTTTCTTTGCCATTAAAGTGACTGCATATCCTGAGAGAAAAGAATAAAAGTAATAAAATAAACTTGCTAAAGGATGCACTTCCTTCCTCACCAAAGGTTAGGAGCGTTGGAGTATTGTGAGTCAAATCTCCACTGGCATAAATTGCCATAGGTCCAGTGGCTTCAGTGTTGCTAATATGTTATGCTAGTAAAGAATTAGACCCTACCTGCTTGCCTAATGTTTCATTTTGGAGAAATCAGGCAGAGCCTTCACAAACTGCAGAAATAAGAACACTTCCAGCATCCACATTTAAATGCATCTTCTTTGCCTCTCCCCAATTATAAATAGAACTTGTTTTGAAGAGTTCAAACAGTATGAAAATTTTTCATTCACATTGCTTGTTAGTAAAAAAATAGCCTTTCATTTCCCACTTCCTCCCCCAAATATTCTAGCCCTGTTGATGTTTTGATTTGTTTGGGCTTTATTTCATCATGCTCTCTCAAACAAAAATAAAAGCAACCTGTCTTCGACACGGACATTTTGTTTCATTTCTACAAAGTGAAAAGCTGTGTTTTTCACAAACATTTAGCTTTCCATATCATCACAAAAGGATGCATTTTCCTATGCTTCCCTAATCAGACAGTTCATAAACATAATTCCAAAAGGGGTTGGATGTTTAGATAGCTAACTAGGCCTAGGGTAATTTAATCATTAGTAATTAATGATGTAAACTGACAATTTCTAGTAAGGATGTTAATTCATATCACATATCAGGAGAAAAACCAGCTATGCGATGTGATTCTGACTGAGGTGAAGTTGTCTTCCTTGGTGCCTGGAGGCCTGGAAGTCCCAGATATAAAGCAGCAGTGAAGAGGAATGGTGGATCTGACCCTGAATAAAATTTCAGATCAATTCTTTGCAAGATTTTTGTTTTTCAAAAAGTTAAGCTTTCTTATCTTCTGACCAGCTCTACTTGCAAGTACCAGTTATGTTCAGAGAAGAATCTGTTCTATAGACTGTTTTCTTCTAAAAACAGCAATTCTCTCTTCTTTTTCAAAGCTTACATTTCCTGTTTTGGTATCTATTTTTCATCTTCCTCTTTGAGCCATTCTTCACAATTTCATTGCCAGAAGAATCACATCATTTCCTTGCTGTTTCTCTAAGTCAGTGCTTCTCTTGATACGTCTTTATAATTGTTCTTTGACCCTTACAATATGGAAAATTTAGCAGAGAGTCACGTGGGAGAGTCTCTTCAGGGGAAACACAACTCCTGTGTCGTGGGACAACAATCTAAGTGAAATTGCACTGAGTGGAAGATGAGTGTGTGCACACAGTATTTGAAGATGCTGGAGGCAGAGGCGTTCTCCATTACCCCCTCCTTCCTCATCACCCCCCAGACAAACACATTCCCTCTCAAATACCCAGATTAGCAAGGTTGGGAGTACCAGGAAAATCTCCTTGCTTGTGGAGGTTTTGTAGACTTTTTAGACTCAGCTTAGATTTTTCTCAGGCTTTTCCTTTCTGTTATCAAGTGAATATTTGGGATGAGTTTTCCCTCAAAGCACCCAGACCAGATTTCACATTTTCCTCCATATAATTAATTGTTTCTCTTCCCATGTCTCTGTTCCATCAAGTTCCTTGTGTTATTGGCCTGTCCACTCTGGCATTCATGATTCCTACCCTTTTAACCCCACCTGTAGATTTTATTGCTGTGTTTTTATTCCCAGCTTCTGACCATATAGACTGGGGACCAATTCCACTTGCTCCACAACTGTAAAGGGGTTTACCTAAACTCAAACACTTGGTCTTTGTGCTTTACAAATTTTAGCAATAATTCCAATGCACATGTATCCAGCAACCTCAGACAAAGCCTCTGCTTGAGTCATTCAGAAAGCATTGCACCATTTTTGGGAAATTCAGCATTCACATCTGACTCTTCAGTCCCATGGAGAGAAAAGGGTTGGGAATAAATAGGCGTAGGAAGAGAGACTGGCAGGAGGCATTTGTGGGGTTTTTCACACTTGAAGGGGTTATGGGGCATGAATGCAAAGAGGAACTCAGTTTCTAAAAGGAATATGGAAGTAGAGCTCCTTCATGTACCTCACTGACTGTCCTGGAGAGGAGCAGTTACAGTCCAGTGTGAAAGGAGGAGGCTGAAGGCAGCAAACCCTTGGAGCCACAGAAGATGGAGACAGAGGAGAGACCCGCACTGGGAGCAGCTGTCCCTGAAGGACTGTAACCAAGGGCACAGGGCAGCCCACTCTGCTGTGAGGGACCAACCACCCCATCCCTGCACCCTCAGGAGAGAGGAACTGGGAAAGAAGTGGGAACGGGGGTGGGAGGGAGATGTTTAGTTTTTGTCTTTGTTTCTGATTATCTGGGTCTATTATAACTGATAATAGATTGAGCTACCTTTTCCAAGTCAAATCTGTTTTGCCCATGGTGGCAATTGGAAAGTGATTTTGATCTAAACTGAAAAATTTTCCATCTCATTACTTCCATATGATCTCTTGAGAAGGGGGAGGGAGACAGCAGCTGGATGGGAGCTTGGCCCTTGGCCAGTGCTTACCCACCAGTGTCATCTCATACAAGAAAAAAGGTTCACATTTCTCCAAAAGCCTCAAATTCTCAAACTATGCAGCAAGCATCACCTCAGGCTGTGAAGATGGGGGAAAGAAGAATTGAGGGAGCAGGGATTCAGTTTAGGGATGACAAAAGGGAGGATCAAATGAGTTCAAGGTCATGGCTTGCCTGGTCCACCTAGGTGAGCTCAGGTCCTCTTCCAAACCCTCTATCAGAAAAACCATGCCAGTCCATTCCAAGTAATTCTGCTTTAAGCCAATGTCTATTGCTATTGTCAATAAAACATGGGAGGAAAAAAAATGAATTATTGTTAAAATTGAGATGAGTTGGTTTGGCATAGAGGTTAGAAATGTTCCTAAAAAAGAAAGAGTTCAGAAAATAGCACATCTTTGCTTAATTCTGTTTACTCCACATCTGAAAGGATGATGTTTACCCTTTTCCTGCATAATATATGTGAGAATGTATATCAAGTCATATAATAGATGTCATTATTTTGCTACTCAGAGACACTTCAAATACATCAGATGACATCTGAAATCATAAAATACCAATTTCAGCCACCAGGAGACTCCTTTTCATGGGGTGAAGATGCAGATGTTCTCCCATGTCACTCAGTGGCATACTTGGAAAGAGATTTTTGTGTTGGTACCCAGCAGTCTCAGGTATTTACACATCTGTACAAGCAGGTGTGGGGTTAAGTCCCAGAACACATATTATGCAAGGCAAGTGATAGACCAAGACATATTTGTTTCCTAACTCCATAATTAGGCTCCCAAATGAGTGACTGCTGATTGCTTAGCACTTTTTAAAGCCTTAAGGCTGCAACTTCTGCAAAATTAATGAAAGTGGTTTCAGGGAAACTTTACAGCTTGCACAGAATCTAAAAGACTGTAGTCCTCATGAATTTTGTTTCTTCTAACCAAAAGCAAAGATCTGGATCCACAGAAAGATAAATGTAAAAATAATTCAGAGAATCTACAGCATCTTTAAATTTGAAGCATATGGGGATCAAAGAGAGAGTGGCTGACAAAATGCAAACTCACATTTTAATGTCTAGATAGTCAGAATATGACTTTAGTCAATGATTTTCTCCTTTTGATTTATTTAGTCATACGTTTTTCATGGATATTGATCTCAAAAAGTTTAAATGGGTTTCTTTCTATCTCAGGACAGATAGAACAAGGTAGGAGAACTAAGCTGTCTCAGTTCTGTTTTTCATTCTTCAGCCATGTCAAAAAATAAAAACCCCAGCGTGTTTTTGTTTTTCATTCATTTATTTATTGTTTACCAACTCCTGAAGTTAAGACCAATATTAACACAGGAACTGCCACACTGAATCCATCCATCCATCTCTTATTCAGTTCTGTCTCCAGGGAAGCTCAATGCTGGAATATGAAGGTACAAAAAGACATATGAGCAGGCAGGTAAGGAATAAATTGGTTTCTTTTAAAATATATGTTATAATAAGAAAGATAGCAGTGATATCTAGCCAAGGGTTCATCTATTCAGTAGAATTATGCTCTGCGTTATTTTTGTCACCAGTATTCCTAGAAATTTAGAGAAGGAATGCAAACAAGAATGCCCAGTGCAAGTGCCTCTGACCTTTGGAAATAATTGGATGTGGATCCAAACGTGGCAGCCCTATCATGTACTAAAGTCTCTTAAAATCATCCTATCCATCAGCCAGACAGGGAAAGAGAAACATGGAAGAAAAGGTCACATTAGCAGGAAGCAGCTGGCATGATTCCACAAGGTTCATATTATTTAGTGGGACCAGTTTCTGCTCTTCAACTTCCAAATTCATGCCAAAATCTGGTGGCACAAACATGCACAGAATTTCACCCTTTGCTATGTACTGCATCAGGGTGACATTTCAGAAATGATATGCAGGGACTTACGCTCACATGACTGTAAATAATAGCAGTCCAGCTCCCCAGAGATGGCACTAAACTCCTACTACATCCTCTGCAAACACTGCCACGAGGCACTGCAGATTGGCTCCGCAGTGTACACACACATAAACCACCTTGCTTTAGTTGAAAGGCTGAAGCATTTATTAGAGAAAAGGATTATAATGATGCAGTTTAAACATTGTTAACTAAACATGAATTGATGAGGAGAAAAAAAAAGCTTAGTAAGAGATTAGTTCTTCCTTCAGCATATGGACAGCAGTGCTTCTACCATTAAAACAAAATCATTTTGTGTTTCCAAGTTGTTTTTTCCTTGGGCTCTTAAGGAAAAGGGATTTCCCAAACCACTATAGATCACTCCTATAACCCAAAATATTCCTTCTATTTTTGAGACAGTACATGAGGCATTGAATAATGAGCCACAAATCTGGCAGAAATCCATGGACAGTAGTATGGAGATAGCTTAGCTGACTTTATGCCTGTATTACTTCTGGGGTGCAGACACTTGGAGGCCTTGTGGGAAGCCAGAATATCAATTTCAGGAGGAATCTTGCATACACAGAGCTAAGCCCTCCTTCAGCCAGTTTGCATTCTGAACTGACAAGGAGTCAGAGGAGAAAGGGAAAAGTAGATCAGAAAAGCACCCAGAGACAGCAAATTTTCAGGGGGCTTGCTGGTAAATCGCACTGGCTGCATTACCCCCCTTCCCCAAGGTCATTTATTATGCCTTTTTCCAGCAATCCAGTGACAGGAAAATGCTGAGTGCAGGGGGTGTTTTATCTGTATGGGGACTAGTTCTGTCCTCACCACAGCTAGTGAGGAATGGTGAAAAACATCCCAGATCTAAGTAGATTACATCAACAAATATGATCTGAAGTTTGAGATGTTCATCTGAACATCTCTGGATTCCCAGATGAGCTGCAGCCAAACTCATTCAACCATCTCAAAGTATCCTTTGCAAAACTCTTTGATTTTGTCTTCATGATCTGGTATTTTATGGATAGAACGATAGAATAGTTTAGGTTGGAAAAGGCCTCTAAGGACATTGGGTTCAACCATTAGCCCAGGACCACCATGGTCACACTAAACCAAGTGCCAATGACCAAAGATCAAAGGATCCAAATACTTACAGTTCCCTCAGTGCAGGTCTCTTTCACCAGTCTCAAAGATCTCCTTCAGAGTGGTAACCACCCCATCACTGCAGACAGAGAAAACAATACCTCCAAAAGAAACCTAAAAATGCAATTTTTCATCAGGAGTGCTCACATCACCTTCCTACACAGATTTTAACCTGACATCTCTTGACAAGTAAAGACAGACACCCTTATAAACAACACCAATTCTCCCCAGAGCAGCTTCCTGTTTAGATGAAACATCTAGTTTTTGTTTTCTTCAATTAAAAAAATTCTTCTTTGCACTAGTCTCCAGGAGTGGAGTAATGTGTATTCTCAAAGAGATTTCTCTAGATCAAGCTACAGACTTAAGGATTTTTTTTGTTCTGTGTTTTTTTCCTCTTCCACAAGCTGATTTGAGACAAATCAGTCTCAAGATATACAGATGTTTCTGAAGACACTTTTTAAGCAGAAATAAAAATTAATTAGTCACATTGCTTGATCTGAAACATTCACTCAACTCTACTACTGACAACTTGGAGCTCATCCAAAGGTTCTGTACTCCATATTGTGTTCAGAAGCAAATATTCTCTAAAAAAATGTTTTTGCATGATAATGACTTACTTGCCTTCAGTAAGCAGCTACACATCTATAGAAATTATACCAAGTTTAAGATTCTGTTGGTAACAACTTTAATGCAACATCATACAGATGCAGCAATCTGTCTCATCCTAATTCTGGGAATGCTAAGGTCATCCTTACTAAATCTATAAATCACACAGCAGCTGCAGTTACCTGTCACACAAAGGCTGGTCCTTCACAGCACTGCCAATGCACTTTAATAACAATTCCTAGGTAGAAGTGAGAAAAAGAAGTGAGAGAAATCACCAATCCTTTAGTTTAAAATGTGTATTCTCCATTGTGAGAAGATGTTCTTCAAAACATCTGGATGAGAAAAAAAAAAAAAAAAGTTGCTTTGTTATTTGTTAAGGGAGAAAGCATATCTTGATATCATGCAAGGTCCAGGTATAACAAAATCATAATCAGTCTAAAAGGAATAGAGACTAAAGGAATGGGGTCTAAAGGAATGGGGGAAAACTTTCCTGAAATGAAACATCCCAGTGCTGCAAAACAGGCCCTTATCTATTACTACAGTAAGCATCATGTGAAGATTCCTATCAGATTCCTCTGTGTTGGGTGCATGTTCAGAGAGCTTCAGAGAGCAGTTCTGCTCACATTTTAAACCTGCTCTCCATTCCTTGCATGATTTTCTTGAGAGATTATTTAATATGAAACATTCCTGAGGTACCCAGATTTATTTATATTTCAGAAAATATTTTCCCCCAAAATAGGCTTATTAAACTAAGCCCAAATTCAAAATCATGTTCTGACAAATTTAGACCAATGTTCTGAACCCATATTTCATCTCTAATAAGATGACTTTATGCTAATCAGAAAAACTACTTCTTTGCTCCTCTCAGTGGAGCAACTTCATTTCTGATGCATTACAGAAATGTCCCATCCTGTGCCATAGAAATTAGATATTCAGCAGCAAAGAACTGTGAATAAGGCTCAGTTCACCTAATTGTAGTTATCTCATTGAGTCTTCCAGGCATCTGTAGCAGAAAATGCATCCATTAGGGAAGGTCTAAACAGAAATTAAGGGTTTGGCTGTCTCTGTGTGCAGTTATTGAGACACAAATGGCTCCATCTAGGTGAAATATAGACTGTAAAATACAGGAAACAAAATCTCTAGCCTTATTTTCATAGATGATAATTAATAAAAGGAAGGGATTAAAAATGCTCAGTCTCAGTTATAAACATGGAATTACTTTTGGATTATTCTTTGCTAGTGCTGATTTCTATGATAGATGTATTCTGGCATATACATACTGTACCATGTTCTGGTAGCATTCTCCTTTCCCTAAAAAATCCACACTATGAATAAAAAAATTATACATTTCCTTTCATTACATTAGGAATATTTAATAAACAAAAGCAATTCAAGAATAGGTAGGTAGGTAGGTAGGTAGGTAGGTAGGTAGGTAGGTAGATAGATAGATAGATAGATAGATAGATAGATAGATAGATAGATAGATAGATAGAATATATGCATGACCTCTTTACAGCCTAGAGTGGCTCATTTGCAACTATATAATGAAATGGCTTTCAAGCTTCTGGGTTATTCCCCGAAAGAGAATGAAAAGTATAATTAGGGTTAATTTCTCATAAAACTTTTCCGGAATATTTTTATGTGCAAGATAATAGGTTACTTTCCAAAAAGGAAAATAAGGAAAGGTAAGGCAACAATGATAGTAGAGACTCATGTGTCCTAGAGGACTTTTTCTAGGTCACTGTGAGAGGACATGACATTACAAAGGCAAAAGAAACACTTTTAGATTTTTTCAGGGATTCCCAGATGTGTCCTTCCGGCAGAGAACGCCTCATTATGTTCTTGCAGCACTATGTGCATTTGTGGAGGGTGCCAAGGAATTGATACCATGGCTGGGAACAACAGAACAGCTTCTCGCATCACTTTGTTCATTCCCCCAGACAACAGCTCTGGTCTTATTCTCAGCTAATGTCCTGAGCAGCCTGCTAAACACCTGCTACAGCACATGATTAAATTGTACTGTGTTGGCATTAAATCTGCAGTGCCAGGGGGGCATTGCAGATGTTTCTTTTAGAAATATCACAAAGGAGAGCTATGACGCAATACAACCAGTGTCTCCAGGGTACTCTTTCAAGCCCTGACATAAGGACCTTCTTAAAATTTCATAGTGTTCTGCTTTCAGTAACATCCAGAGGCCACATCCAGAACAAAAACAAGGGAGATGGTTTTCCTTACTCTGACACATTGTTAATGATTTCAGGCATTATTAAAAAGTCTCCAGCCCTGAAGGTGTCAAGGCCAGATTGGATGGAGTTCTCAGTCTAGTGAAGGTATCTCTGCCCATGACAGAGGCTTGGAACTAGATTATCTCAAAGGTTTCTTCCAACCCAAATAATTCAACGATTATGTGATTTTCCAGAGTCTTTCTTATTCAAGAAGGAATTTGAATTTATTTCAATTTTATTTTGGTTTCGAATTCCAGTTATTCCTTTATTGACAATGCCCTGATAACTTCTACTGGCACTGTTATGTTTTAAACAAGCCTTTACCTTTAGTAAAACTTTATTCCATCCACAGTCTTTGGATCATATGATGCCCAAGGCACGATTAACTCTGTGAGAAACTGTATTGACTGTCCTTACTGCAGTTTTAAAAAGGGAATATATGGGAAGTATTATTATACAACTGGACAGATTATTCTTAATTTGTTTTTAGCAGAATATATATTATATGTAGTTTAATTTGACCCCAAAAGTTAGACCCCAACTGAAAACTCCAAGTGCTAATATTATGGATTTTGAAATCACAGCTCAAAGCTGTGTAAGTTTTTCAGCTTTGTCCTTTTGGGATAAAATCTGGGCTTTACTGAAGTCAACTCCTTCTGAGTTTGTCAGAAAGATGGTGTCAATCCCACAGAGCAGTGCAGTGAGAGACAAGATAAAGTTGCCTGAACTCCTTTGTTCTCCTCCATGAAAAATATCCCAACAAAGGAAGTTTTTCACTTCCAGGTGCTTAGAACACACCAGAGAGGAAGTAAGTGAATCACCTAGATCTGCTTATTTGCTGCATGCATTCAAGCTAAATCTTTTTTAAAAAATTCCATAATACCTTTGATGCTTCCTTAAGACAAAGACCTCTCATATCCTTTAGAATGTGTTACAATATACCTCAGTGTAAAGCATCAGGAAGAGCTATGACTTATTGTCCTCCTATCAATGTAATTTAGCATCAGTAGAGACACCATGATTTTAGCACAATTTTCAAGTATGGTTACTCATGGACATTTCTAATTTAGGTGCTCAAATGCAGGTGTCAAAGGTATTTCAGAAGTGTTGACAGCCCTTAAGATGTATGAAGTGGAATTTGTTTAGCTAAATGAGAATATTTAAGAGTTAGGCTTTTATTTCTAAGCAAGCCACTCTGGGATGCCTTTGCAGTCAGCAAAGAATTAGTAGAGCTACTATAGTTTGCGTCATGATTCATCTCACCCTCAGTGAGACAGCTGCATTTGTTGGGATGAATCATGCACTAATCTCCATGGACTATACTGATCAGGTCACCACTTACTATAATAAAAGCCCAGGCAAGAGGCAGACACCTCATGTTAGGTCAGATGAATCATCTAACTAGCAGGCTTCCAGCCTACCCTTCCTGCAGCATTGTTTGAGTTCCCCTTAATGCTCCACTGGGAACATCAAGGGCCCTCAGTCCACCAGCAGAGATGAAGGCATGTCTACATTGATCCACCAAAAATGGGAGGCAATAGAGGTAATGCAGCTGTGTCTCTGACCAGGTGCAGGAAATGGGGAGGACAGTCAAGGCACTCAGTTGACTTTGGGTTTTATGGCTGCATAAGCCACCTGCTGCCAGATCTCTACATTGATGAAAGGAAAGATCCTGCACACTGAACTTTGGTAATCATCACAGAGGCCTGTAACTTACCCTTCACCTCTATGAAACACTTCTTCACTTTCTGGAGAAGCACGAGGTTTGCTTCTCAGAGTGTCTTTCAATGAGACTCTGTGGTCAGAAGATGCAATGGCAGGAGATTAACACTACGATGAAGATTAACACCACAGCTCCCACTGCTGAGAATACACATCAAAATAATGCACTGATAGCAAAATTTAAATATTTGATTCTGAAAAAAAGTCAAAAGGTCAGAAATTTTCTCCTGGGTTTTCTTCTAAAAGAGAATTCTGAGAAAGAACCTGAAAAACCCAATTTGCAAAGCATTTCTAGTCACAGTGTGTTCTGACAGAAAAAGTTATCATCAAGCTTTTTCTAACCTCAAGCTTTTACTAATCTCTTTTGATGTTAGCATACTTGTATATCTCTCTTCTTAATATGTAAGCTTGTTAAATTATTAGAAGTTAAAATTAATGTTATTGTTAAGGACAACCAAACCTCCCTCAGGTAGGCTGGCAACATGCAAAGCCAGCTTTATTCTGGCCTATTTATGTAACACTTTCATTTTGATTTATTATTGGCTGTGACATTTAAGTAGAACATGTTCCAAGCAAGTCTGTGAGTTTGGACTTACTGCACTTAAAAGAGCAGGTGGGGAAAGGAACATTAAATTTGTCCCCAGTTAATTCAGAAGATACATCCACAGCTTCTGAATATTCCACTAATACAAGTAATTTAGCCTCTGAGTTTAGTGATTTCAAATACTTCTATGGATATCAGACATCTAAGAAAAAACTCAGTAGTAAATAAAACTGCTGGGACAACACATAAGCTCTGCAAAGGAGGAAATACATAATTCTGGAGAAGACTCAGAAGGATCAGAGAGACTTGGTGTCTTTCAGCTTAGAAGCAGTGCTTCAGGGTTTACGAAAAAAACTGAAGAAAATAATTCTGTATTGGAAACATAGTTGGAGGTACCACCTAGCAAAAATGCCCTCCAAGTATAAGGGTTTTCAAAGGATCCCATAGAAACCTAGACCAGGATAAGGTTAACAGTTCATTTTTCTCATTCTTCCATACATGCTGCATATCTACACAGCAAACTAATATCATGAACTCACATCAAGAGTGAGAGATTAATATTGAGTTCTGAGCCAGTGCACCAGAGCAGAACAAACAACAATCAGAAAAGAATGACACATCTGAAGTTCCATTATGCTGCTGGTTTTCCCACATTGCAATCCTTGGCACGGCTGCCCCAGTACAAACCACCAGCAGAGGCTGGTACAAAGTTTACAGCTGCTCCATGGCAGAA